GCTGGCCACAGGCTGGGGTGGTGGAACACAGCAAAAACCACTCTGTTCTTGCCAAACTATTGGTCTAAGGCTTTCTGAGCAGCCCCGGCCATGAGGCTTTATCATGGCAACGTGGCGGATGCAGCAGGTTTGTGCACCAGCGCAAACCGCGCCACCAGGGTCACGCCATGTTTCAAGCTGTAAAAAGGGCAAAAGTGGGGAGTTTTGAGCATGGCTGAGCCCAGCCCTGCACAGACTCTGACTAGAATGGGTGCTGCTCCAGCCCCTAGCTGCTGTCGGACAGCCCAGCCAGGAGTGTGTGACACATGGCGACACTCCCTAATGCCTCCTCCATAACATGGAGACACTGGAAAAAAGGACTGAAAAAGAAAAAAAAAACCTTTTTTCTCATTGCAAACCACAGTTCCAGGTGTCTCATTAAATCAGACAAAAAAAAAAGTATTAGATTTATTGCTATCACGAGGTGCCCATGGGCTCAGCTGCAGCATCCTGCTATCGCTGGGTTCCACCTCCCATGGCAGGAGCCCCATTTCATCCACCTGCCATCATCACAATCCCAAACCCCCAGTGTGGGACCCCTGCTCTAAGCAGCACCTGCAGCCCCCCACCATCTTCAGGGTCCCAGTGCCCATGGCAGGGCCACCAGGAGCAGCTGTGCTTCCCCTCCTGCCTGGCATCCAGAGTGACCCAAACCCACACTGAGGTGACCCATGGCAGAGCCTCTTGAGCGCCATCCCCTCATCGCTAAAAATAGATCCGAGCGGTTAAAAAAAAAAAAAAAGCCAACAGAAAGAAAAAGCCAACAGGAAAAAAAAAGCCAACAGAAAAAAGGAGAACAATGTCTGCTTGACCATCAAAGAGCAACCACAGTCATTTTGAGCAGGAACACCTGAGACGAGGACTTTCGGGTTGTGTTTTCTCTTTCTGCAGCAGATGGGCTCGCTTTTCTCTGAAACAGATGAAATCTCTCCTTGCCTGAGGTAATGGCATGCGGGGCTCCAGTGCTGGGGGCTGCCCCCCTTGTGGGCTTCTCGGGGCTGGAAAGTAACCAGGGGAACAATGGGTCAGAAGACAAATTCAATTTCCTTTTGAGCTCATTATCGGCTTGATTCTTATTTGTACAGAAACAGATCTTGTGGGCTGAAACCGGTGTGCTGGCCCCAGCACTCATCTGAGAACTTGGCAATTCATTGCAAGAGTGGGCTGTGCCGTGAAGGTCACCTCCCAGACCTGGTCTGGGTGAGCAGTGTGTCACAGCTCTCCAGACCTTCAAGAGCTGGCATGTCTAGCCCATGGCTCTGCAGGGCACAATCTTGGCCGATTGTTAAAAAATGCTGAATTTCCATGTATTATAAACGAGGAGATTTGTCAGGGCTGGCTTCAAACACCCTGCTCCGTTAGCAGAGGCGGTTTTCAGAAGTCGATATCGAAACAGTGGTAAAAAATGGGGCATTTTGAAGCTGTTGAGTGAGCAGTGTTGTGCACAGTGATCAGCCGATATATCCGACAGGTCACACATGAAAGTGTCTGCCTGGTGCCACTGGAAACTTTTTCAGCAGCACCCTAAATCAAACTTATCTAAGCCATCTGCTGCTTAGAGTCATCCTTGGCTAAACTCACTCACAGAGGCATCCAGAAACATCAAAGATATTTAAAAGGCTTTATTTGACCTCAGTGCCTTTGAACAAGGGCATGAGATGACAGGACCAAGTGAGAATGGCTCCAAACTGACAGAGGGCAGGGTTAGATTGGACATTGGGAAGAAATACTTCCTTGTCACAGGGGCAAGGCCCTGGCACAGGCTGCCCAGAGAAGCTGTGGCTGCCCCATAACTGGAATTGTTCATGGCCAGGTTGGGTGTGGCTTGGAGTAACCTGGGATAGTGGAAGGTGTCCCTGCCCATTGCAGTGAATTTTCAGTTTGTTTGTTGAATTATAGACTCCCACAAGGAGCTGGAAGGGACTTTAAAGCTCATCTCGTTCCAACCATGGGGTTTTTCCACTCCAGACCAAGACACGCTGTTCCAGATGGGCATGGATACTTTGACAGGTTCCATATTTTCATGGCAGGCAGCTTTCCTCCTTTCCCTTTGCCCTCCTCTGTTTTACAGCCAAAATTGTTCTTCTGCACACGCTAAGGATAAATGAAAGATTGAAATGAATTGCTCTCATCCAGATCTTTCCTCTCTGGGTTATTAATCGCTGGAGCATCTGCTGGCTGAGACAGAGTGAAGGGGGATGGCGACAGCCCCACAACCTCTGGTCAGAGCAGGACAGAGCTTTGTCTTGTGGCTCCATTCAGTGAGGCAGCATTTGGGAAACACTTTTTTGGGGTGGTGGGTGGGAAGGAGGATCTTCTTGCTGAACTGAGGAGCAGGACTTCTCTATCCCCTTGGGGGCAGAGAGGGGGAACCCAGAGCAGCTGGACCGAGACTGCAGGACGGCCTTCTGTTCCCACACAGCCAGGACACCCCTTTTCACTTCTGCCTCCATCTAACAGCACTTTCTCATTTT